TTTTTTTTTTTTTTTTTTTTTTGTTAAACACGATAATCTAGTCGTTGGTAAAAGTAACTCTAACAATATAAAAATGCACTCTATTCCTGTTAGTTAATAGTACAGTTATCTACTATAATTATCAATTTTACCAAAAGTAATTGACGATAATATTATTTTTATGAATAGTATGCCATTTATATATCGAATCGTTGACTTTCTTTCGATGTTCTACTCTTGTTGTCATTATTGTCGGACGTTTATATCGAAGAAAGTCAACGGTTTTCTTTTCTACTTTGCAGTAGCGTAATATGATTAATATTAGCGACTTATGTTCATATTTAAATGTATATGTGGATATTTTTTTGTATACACAAATTGAATTCAATTTTATTTACTATTCCGCGATATCATTTTTTTTTTTTTTGGAAAATTCTTTCGACCTAATTTTTCGTCATCTTCTTCTTTAAGTAATATTTAAAAAAATATCGATATTTTTTTTTGTCCACCTTCGGTGTGAAATAATAAAATTCAAAGTAAATTGCTGCGCCATTGTCAATCCTTCTTCTATCGACGACAAATGTAAATTTCATGACGATTACGATTGCTTTCGGCATTTTTGGGATGGTTTGCATTTTGCGTCCGTTATTTAACCTTCTTACTTAAATTCTAACTTGTTCGAAGTATCTTTTCATAATATTTCCTAAATTTATCATATTATTTTAGAAATAATAAATAAGGATGTTATATTTTTCATCAAATAAATGATTTCAATACGATTTAGAATGATATTTATTTATTATTTTCATCGATTGACTACAAGGTTAAGAAATTATAGATTATATGATCTATAATATCATGTATATATATATATATGTAATATTACATAGCAAAATCGATGCATACTTCTTCACAAATATTTTGTAATTTGATAGTACAGATTATCCTAGCAATTCTAACAACTATGACAGTTCAAACACTATATAACAAGATAACATATAAAATCACATTTTTTATTTCACGGTGATTTCTCGTACGTACCTATTCAAGTCACGATATTACAACATCGATGGGTTATATGTAACCAGGTGCTTTTGATTCATCCTTGAACATGAACTATTATGATTCTTTGATAAAATAATTCTACAGAATTTTTAATTCATATTTTCGAGATAATTACTTAATCATTTGAAATTTTGTCATTTATTTAAATACTAGTTATATGTACAGCCGATCACAAAAATATTGGGATACCAATACTATTTTAAAGTTTACAATTAATACCTTTAACAAATATAACAATTAATAACAAATTAATATTACATTCTATCGCAGTACAGTTTTATGGATGTTAGAAATAATAAAATTGTTGCTTTTTTTTTTTACATACGGTTTTTTAAATATTGTAAACAAATTTAACAAAAAAAAAAAAAAATAAAAAACACACGAACTTTTACGTCACTAAAATATTGGGACATTTTATAAATCAAAATTATAATATTAACTTATACATTTTCTTTTTTTATTTATAGTTATTTATAATATTTTCTTTTCGAATATCTATTATTTTTCATGACACGTTTTATACCTTTTTGCAATTAAACAATATTAATTTATTGCCGATCTTCTCTTAAACGTTTGTTTAATTCTACTTTTATATTTACGCCTTGTTTTTCGTATTCTACGATTCAGTTCATCCCATAGATTTTCAATTAGATTTCAATCAAATGACTGAGGAGGTGGTTTAAGTCATTTTTTACAATTATTGAACAGATATTCTAGCACTATACGAGCTTTATACTTGAGATTATTATCCTGATAAAATTCAAAGTTATGTTTAATCCCATATTTGTAGTACTTTTCTTTGAATTATGTTTTATAGTATTTAAATATTAATTGTTATCTAAATTGTCGTTTAAGAACCAGTTATCCAATACCAAAACTGGAAATACATTCCCGTATCATTACGGATCAACACTACCGTGTTTCACCATAGATTTGAAATATTTCGGATGACATATTTTTCTTTGTTTCCGACACACCTTAATTCTTTCGTCTCCATCGTAGACACATTAAATTTATATTTAATATTTTCTAAGCATACAAATACTAAAATGTGTTTCATATAAGTTTGTATTACGTCACTCGACAAAGTATTTTTCTTTCAATTCACATATTAATGTGAACTCGAGAACGTTCAAGAAAATGAAATTATTCTATTGAAAAATAACAACAGTCAACTTCGTGATTATATTCGTTGCTATAACGATTTAAACATCATAATATACAGTACAATTAGAGAAACGATTAGAAATAAGAAAGCTTTCGTTACAAGTTCAATCTTAAATAATAGATCTTGAAGATTTATATAGATTGTAATAATCCCATGAATTTATTGACGGTGATGTACATCAATGTTTAGTGCAATGTACGTTTGGTAATGTTTGATCACCGAATCGCAAATGAATTCGTTTCTCTTTCCTTTGATCATAATCTTTAAAAAAAAAAGAAAAACAAAATAACAGCTATAGATTGCGAATCGGTGTCGAGTATTACTAATCTGTATATATATTATTATTTTTAGAAGATATCCTACATTCATCTGGAAACTTTTACGTAAGTTACTAGGAATCTGTAAAACAATCCGATCAAATATCAAGCGTATTAAAGTTTAATGTATTCCGATTGCATAATTAAAATTAAAACTTCTCTATTCTTATTATTTCAGGATGGATTCCAACAAGGATATTAATATGTTTAATGATGTTCACCTGTTGCTGGACCAGTTACATGTGTCGTTTGCAAATGCCCATCTTAGCGGTACCAATGATCAAGGCTCTTCCAAGTGAAGATGTAAGCGGTGCTTGCGTGAGTGATGCTGAACGTCATCGACGATCTCTCTTAATATCTGAACCGGTTGATTTTCTTCAAGAATATACTTTGATTAGAAGATTGAGCTTTCATGAATCTAAAAGTATTGAGGTAGAAGGTGGAGGCGAACGTATTCGTCGACAAACAGATGAAATAGTTGAGAAACCAATTAGACCGTCAAATTTTGAGCTTTTTAATGGATTACCTTTTGATTGGAGTCCTCAGATTCGCGGACAATTAATAGCCGCTTACAGTTACGGAGTTGTACCTGGAAGTTTCATCGGTGGTTTGATTTCCTTAAGATGGGGTCCCAGACGTGCGATCCTTTGGTCGTCCATATTAGCTGCCTCTATATGTTTAATCAGTCCTTTAATCGCTCAAATCCATTGGAGTGCTCTCTTAATCGCTA